CCGGTTGTACGGGAAGTCCTTTACGGAGCCGGCTTGGGGGATGGAGCCGGGGCGCGATCTCCCTTGTGGGACTTGGGGCCGGTCGAGGGGACCGAGGTCGACGGGGGGAAGGTAGACTTCTTGGCGGCCACGGTCTTGGTGGCGTGCTTCAATTCTTGCATCAGGAGCTCCTTGCGCATGCGCTCGATGGTCCCGTCAATGCGAGCGGTGCCGAAGCGCAGGCCGCGGTCGGCGAGACAGATCTCCACCTGAATGGTGCGCCACGATCCCTCCAGGCCCGAGCCTTTGTGCTTGGTATGGATGCGCTGCAAGGAAAGCTGGTCGTGGAGGGCCTCGGTGACCTCCACGTACGAGTAAAGGTAGGGGAGGAGGAAGTCCCGTACGGACGCCGGTAGATCTGGATGGGCGGCCACCTCCACGAAGGCCCCAGTCGTGTCGAATAGCCAGGACACCGGAGGCGCCCAGCCTGCGTACTCTTGGAAGTACCCGGAGTTCGCGCTCAAGGCGTTGGCGACCGCGCTCCCTTCGGCGGTGTCGCGGACGTCAAACCAGTACGGGGAGCGGCCGCCCACCGGTCGGGCGACCGGGTTGTTGACTGACTGAGGGAGGAGCGCCGGGTCGGGCAACCAGCAGGCTTCGATAGCGGAGGTCGGAATACGGTTGTTGAACCGGCGAGCTTGGTCTTGGCACCACTGCTCCGCAGGGGACGGGTTCATAGGCAAGAACTCGGCAAAGGCCGGAGGTCGCGACCCACTCTGTGGGTCCGGGTTGTGCCAAAGGTTTGGCGCGAAGCGAAACAAGATGGAGTGGGGACTGAGGGGAGAGCCTAAATAGACTCCCCCGCTCGCGCCCGCCAAAGCCCATCACTCCCAAGGGCGCCAAAACCACTGGACCTCCTTGAACGCGACGAACTTGCCACTGACCCAAGGTACAGGGGGACAGAAACCCCAAGGGGCCGCCAAAACAGCCGTACTTAAGTAGCGCTGGTCCGACTGGAGCCAGCGCGCCCGCCCCTCGTCGCCCTGGGCGGAAACCCCTTGACAAGATAGTTAATCCCATGTTTGGTAGTGTGCAAGTCCCTTTTTCAGGGACCAAACATTCACCATTTTCAACCAAATACAATACATGTTTTTTTAGCATGTTTGGCCCTAAACCAACCTCACGATTAGTTCAAGGAATATAGTTTCTTCTCCATAAACTCCCACATCATCTCACACTCTCACAACTCCTTTTTAAGGAGTTGTTGGAGACTTGTACACATCCTTTTTTAGGGATTCAGTCGTGCACCCATTGTAATCAAATGCAAAACATGCTTTTCCAGCATGTTTCCTCAAACAGATTCTGAACTTCCGTTTCTTCTTCTGAATCCAATTGTTGCGGCCCCGTCGGCGGCCGCTGGTTTCCGGAGGTGTGGGGGTCGCCCTGCCCTGCGGCTCGGCTGTTGGAGGTCAGCCGGCTCTCTCCACCTCGGACGGTGGGCGTATCCGGTGCAGTCGAATCGGCGGTCGCGCGGTGGGCTCAATACTCGACGGGGATCGATCCCCGGGGCCTGCTGTCGGCGAGAGGTGGCGGCGCAGCGAGGCGGTGGTTCGTTGGCTCGCGGGAGGCCAGAGAGTGGGCCAAAGGATGTTACACGGATTCACAGTATGCGCGCGCACATATCGCATGCGCGATGCCCGATCGCGGGTCCATCGCGGTCACCTCAAGACAAGACAAGTCAATGTGTGCGTCCAGGCACCAAGTCACCGTCCACCGTTCACCTACGATCGACCTAATGTCCTCTAATTCCAAGCATCTAACACCCGACCCCCTGGCCCCAAGTACTACGACTTCAGGAGGCCATATCTTCGTCAATTCTTAACGGATTCGGGCGTTTAAAAGCTCGTTGGAACCAGGAAGCTTTAATAACACCCACAAAAGGTCGATATCCCAGATTACGTAATTCCTACTCCAGAAAACGTCAATAACTGCCTTACCCCAAGCAGCCACGTCACACCAATTTTGCAGCCTCTCACAATCTCGCAGCTCCTTTTTCAGGAGCAATGCCACTCTCGGCAGTAAACACCAAGTATTTCTGCCCAACTTCAAGGGCAGCACCACTTTTCCAGTGGCAGCCTCATACAACCACTTTTTCAGTGGTCAACATGAACCAATCCCGTCCAATTTCGGGGACTGCACCACTTTTTCAGTGGCATCCGCATACAACCACTTTTCCAATGGTATACACCAACCAATGTTGCACCACTTGCATCAACGGCAGCACCACTTTCACAGTGGCAAGTAGATTCCAGCCACTTTTTCAGCGGCAAGCACCATTTGCACCAGGTCTAAGACGCCAAAAGGGTGCCTGAGCTGGAAAGGCACATCAGCTCAGTGCCATGCTGGGGAAAGAGACATCCCGGCATGTTCCTTAAGGCGCATGCCTGTAAAATAGACAACTAGGGGCACAGCCCCACAAACACACAACTGTGTGACTCCATGGCTGGAAAGAGACGTCAACCAACGGAGCACATTCTCATGCACGTAGGGATCAGTGAAGAACGCTTCAACTGGTCCAAAACTCCTAGTTCAGGAGTTTTTCTTTTGCTTCTCACTTGTTCAGTGACTTTCCCACATTTTTTCTGCCCCTCTCACTTATTCAGCGACATTCAGAGCTCCATAATAGACTCAGCATCTAGGACCACTGAAGAGCGGGTTGGCTGGGCAAAACACCAACACATCCCCATGCTAAGGAAAGATACATCCCAGCATGTTTCTTGGGGCCCAAACATCTGAATAGTGCAGCCCAGAACACAGTTCTGTGACCGTTAAATCAGACTCTACCCATAGCTGGAAAGAGACATCAGCGTATGGGATCGAATCTGGACCGAAGTGATGTGATGAAACGGCTAGCAGCACAGCCAGCATGTGTGTTTTCTCCACAGCAATATTTCAGCTGTGGGTGATTGATGAATAAGCGAACACATGCAGCCTTAGTATGGGGTAGTCCACCCTTGAAAGAGCCATCAGGTGTGGGCCCAAACTTTCAGTCATGCATGGTTCCTTTTTAGCCTTTTTCAGGCCAGCAACCTCTTAGCCGAGAGCAAGTGGCTTTGAGGCTGGATACACGCCCAAACTGGGTTGTATCCTTACTGAGGACACATAGCCCCACCAGATATTGAGAGCTGTGGTCAATACTGGTGAGGCAGCTTTTACTGAAGTACTCTTGCTGCATAGGGTGTCGCTCAGTCGTCACCAAGCTCCCCTTGAGGCAAAACTCCTCTCAACTTTTATGACCAGCTTGCTATATTTCCAAAAACGCAAGCACTTGACCAATTTTTGTTCTTGTTTTTGATTTTTTCTTTTTCTAGCCGGTGGTGGCATACTCGGGCCATCCCACACAGTCAGCATGCGTGTCAGACATGAGTCCCTCGCCAGCTGAATCATAAGTGACTCACCCAGTGAAACGGTGGTCATTATGCAGCTGCGCGAACACTTTCTGATTGCCAATTGTATCCTGACTTGGTGCCAATGCTGGTTCTGGTCTTGTAGGCAGTGGTTTTGTCAGCTGGTATTGACTTCCAGTTGATGCGAAGGGAGGAACCCATGTAGAACAGGAGAAATGCACGCCAGGCCCAGTTGCCGGTCAAGAGGGAGTGATACAGGGCTGTGCTCCGCAGTATGACGTACCCCGAAAACTTGTCAGCCCTTGTTGGTGGCAGGCCCAGCCAGTGGACCCACAGAGGGCGGATGGGCCGTACGATGAGAGGCAAGGGTGTGTGGCACAATAGCGCAGAGTAACACCTCAACTCCTTCTGCAGCCCTCGGACATCTTGATCAAGACCCACATAACCGCACCACCAGCCGAGGGCCGATTACTATTCTTGTCTAATGGATGTCCTATCTGCCTGTTGCTGGCCAGCTGGTTTGGTTTGTGTTGCGGCGTAGTGCACACAGCCATGCCCAACAAAACGCCAAATTCGCCGACGGGGAGCAGTACAAGCAATCGCAGTGTTGCATTTTGGAATTGGTGACAGCGTGTTCTTCTCACCCAAGCCGTTCTGGCTCTTTAGGAGTACGAAACCACATCCGACCCACTCGTCCCACCTGCACTGCCACACCTCCGTTGCAACGGATCAATGTCTTCCAGAATTGGTTGCTGCTGCAAGCTCCCTGCAATGAGCACTCTACTGCAGTCTCAGGCCGTCTTTTGCACCACGAACGTCAGTATCTACACAATGCCCATATTGCAAACTAGCAGCCTACACCAAAACCCTAAGTCCATGCCTCTAATGAACTCAAAAGCATGCTTGCCGAATCTGTGCAGAATGGCTGTGTATGTCAGCCGATGTTAACCTTTATGCCACATTGCTGCTGTTCCAGCCGCCACAGTACCCATCGTGGCCCAGTACGAGTGGCCCATGTACTCACTGTCCACATACCTGATCATCCTGTGGTGCACAACCACGCAGCTATAAAACTGTCTTCTCACGGCGTTGAATCCATGGAGAGCTATTTTCGGCAGCCTGTTGGCAGGAGGAGCCTTAAATTCTGCTGCCACAAGTGAGCATTCGCCTGGATTGCATATTCCACAGCCAAAGCTCTAGTCTTACACCCATCTGCGGTTGCAGATATATTATTCCAGTAAAAATAAAACAAGTGCCGGGGATGCGCCTGTCACCACGACAACAGAACATGTGGGGAACTGGTGCCCACTGTCAACCATTTGAGTTCTTGATATTTTGCTTTTCGAACAGCCCCACTGTCAATTGTGTGCCTCACGCCACCTTAACACAAATATCAGCCTGTTCAATGAGGTGGGAGACTAGCCTCCTTGCCAGTTTGAGTGCTTCATCATCTGTGATTCAAAACAGCTGCCATGTTGCCAAGTTGTCAAGTTGGTCACATAGAGAATTTCCCTCGCTACCAGGCCACCTTGCGTTTCACAGAAGCGCATGATTGGACAGCCTGCGCACCTCTCCATCTCATCAGCGGCTCTCCAACCCACTATCCCTTCAATGTCACCTTAAGTCGATGTTCAATGCATCTGAAAGAGACTCCCCATACCCCACAGAGCCCATACTGCAGCTCGCCAATTGCCCTCCCGGCTTGTGTATGTGCAGCTGTTGGGGGATGAAGCGTTGCAGGTCTTCGATTGTGCGCCGATCACCATCCACGTGCAGCTCTGGCTCTACTTGCCTCACGATCGCAATCTTTCCTGGCAGTGTCTCGCAAACCAGTAGTTTGTGGGAAGGGATTTGATGCTTGCCTCTACCCAGGACACCAGCAGCCTCAAGCGCGCCCCGAACGACTGCCTCCCCAATGTCACTAGACACCTGCATTATAACACAAACACAAGCAGTCACTATCGTTCTGGCTGCTAAGGGACCTGCAATAGCGTCACCACTCAAAACAAATGCAACTCAAGCCCATGGTGCATCAGCCAGACAACACACACTAAGAACTCGTAGGAGGCCAGACATAGACTGGAATGCAGATGTCTGCATTTGTGGACAGCATGTTCTGCACATTCTCTGCACAGCTATCGGCCTGAAATCGCCTTGCAGGGACAAAGGCTGTGCTTTGTCACTTTTCGACACACATAAACAAATCATACACACACTTATCCTTCAAGGTGCAAGGGCGTCACAAGGCCCCAAAAAGGCAATTGCCATGATGTGGATTACATCTGCGCCATATTGTGCACAATCCAGTGACACCTGGTGCCAGTAAAAGTCTTGACAACATACAGGAATAGACACCAAAAGCAACCAGAAACATGAGCGCAGAATGCACAAAGGGTTCTTGTGCTTGTGGGCAGCTTCCTTATCTCTATCTTGTAGTGTGCAAGAAAATAGACACTGCAAGAGCAAATGCTCGCAAACACGAAAAGTGTCCTGAAACACTCATTGGGTGCAATGCAGTGCTTTGTCATAACAATTGCAATGCAATCAGTGCAGGTTAGCGAAACAGCGTGCGCCAGCAGTGAAACATGCCGAGCAGACAGCCTAAGGGAGGGAAATTCCTCTTGCCCAAATTCATGTCAAGGACTGTCCACTTTGTATTTTGCATGACACACACAACTACAAGATGCTACGGTTGACAACAATAGAGATCTGTTGGGAACAGTATGCTATGCCAAGCGATGCCAGTGTTGGTCACAATGGGCCAAATCGACTAAGCGCAACTGGTTATTGCACAATCCAGAACACCTGCTGTGTGAGAATGGTGGATGCCAAATTCATCTGTTGGCCTCTCAACACTGTGGTCGTTCGATTTTCACTGCTCTTCACTATCGGCAGCTATGGAGACTAATGTCCAATTGCCTAGGCCGCTCGCGCCACATTTCAGCAGCTACCACTTAGACAGACACAATCAGTCCGAGTGTGGTGAAAGCAAATGGTTGTTGCGGTTTCGGATAACACAACCCCACAGCAAATTCCTTCGGTTTGGCCTCACCTGTGCCATCAGATACAGCTGCACACATGACCCCAGTTCCTTCACGATCTCCACTGCGTCTGGCCTCACTGTCGCCTCCTCCTCCAGCTCCTCCACGTCACACTGCTCCAGCAGCACCCCCGGTACCGATATGGTCACCGTTGAGATGCCCACCAGCTGTGACCTTAGGGCAGAGAGGGGGATGGGCAGGCCCTGGGCCCCAGACCCTGGCACCTCGGATTCTCCTGGTGGGCAACTCCGCTTCTGAGATCCCAGCCTGTACTGGGCGCTGTTGGTCCTGGAGGCTCGCGGCTGGGCGTCAGCTCTTGGGCGGTCAGCTGCGGGGGCGCGGCGGGTGTAGCCCAGCTGGTAGAGACCAGCCAAAAGGGCGGCCAGGCCGATAACGCCCGTCAGCGGCAGCGCACCCGGCGGCGCCTCCCGCAGCATGCTCACGACATGGACGTAGAGGGCGTGTGCCAGCCGTTGCAGGTGCTGCACCAGTTGGTCCATTGTCCTGCAGATGTTGAGAGAACCTTTTGGGACAGCGTATCAAACGGCACCGCCCTTGGGCCCACAATGCCATGTTGGGCGAGCTTGTGGGCTACGCCGGGCACTAGAACTGGGCTGCTTGCCCCATCCTTCAGGGGATGATTGTGCAGCAGGGTGCATGATGAGAAAACAATCCTTGCTTCTCCAGCAAAAATGCAACCAGGGGGGTTGCTGTTTTCCGTTGCTACGGAACCAGGCCTCCCCTGCCCGGTTTGTACAACGCAAGAGGCGCCGGGCTGACCCCGGATCATCTCCACAGCCAGCACCTCAGGCGCCCTCCACATATTCTGCTGTTGTATGGTCTGCAGTGCCGGCCCCGCACACGCACAACTTTGCAACACGTCCAGGCCCGGTGCCGCCGGAAACCCACTTCCCAGCGCTTCACCCTCACAGCTCATCGACCGCCCCGGCCCCGCCAAACCCGGGCACATTGGCCCCTGAGCGGCGGAGCAAATAACTCAAACGACCGGCCTACCCACCCCCTCCACCCCTAATTTCAGATCCCCTCCGGGCGCCGCGCAAAGGCCCATAAATGCAGCCCAGCGGGCCCGCCCATCCCCCGCCACGCTCCACCCGATTCCCCCGCGCCCCCGCGCGGCAGGTGCGCCTGGACATCGAGCCCGTCGCCCGCACCACCCGAGAGGGTTCTCTGCGGGCGCCGATCGCCGCGAGGCGCTCACCTCGGCGCGCGCTACGCGCGAGCGCTCTTCCGAGGGGGGGGCCAGGCGGGGATGCGCACAGGGGTGCGGCAGAGGAGGCCTCCGCCGAGGCGGGCGAAGGGAGGACGGTGTGTGGAGGTCCGCCACGGGGGAGGAGCACGGAGGGGGGCGACCTGGGCGCGGCGGGGCTGAGACGGGGGCAGTGGAGCTTGCGCCCGGCGGACCTCGACCTGCCGAGCCGCCTTTGGGTTGGCGCGGCGGTGGCCGGAGGGGACCGACGCGGCTGTGTTGAGACACAGACTTCGCTGAAAAAACGGGAGCAGCGTTTCATGGAAAAGGTGGCGTTTTTTTTTCTTTGTTTTTTTTTCTTTGCGATCAGTCCCCGCCTAATGCAGGCGAAGAAGATAGCGGTGTGAGCCGTAGTCGAGGCCCGTCGCGCCAGTTTGCGGAGCGCCCGGCGGCGCCCTGGGCTTCGTTTGCGGTGCGCCCGGCACCCCCGTGGACGCGATCGGCACGCCCAGAGCATGAAGAGAAAGCACGGCGAGGGCCAGGGGCCGCCCGCCAAGCAGGCCCGGACGCAGAACAAGGGTGGGCAAACTGAAATGCCATCCGATTGCTGGGGCGATTGTCTTCCGAGCTCGATGTCGCCTTCTAAGGCCCCAAGGTCGCGTTTTTGAGGCCATGCGGCGCGCATTGTGCTTCGACGATCAAGTTCCGACCGCGCATTCGACGGTGGATCGATGTCGCAGGTGGCAAGCGGGCGGCCGCCGGGCATGAGGCTCGCAAGGCCGGAGGCATTGAATCCGCTGACGGGACGAAGAAGGACCGGAGCGCCGACGGCGCCCGAAAGCGCAGTGCGGGAAAGGGAGTCGATTGGAAGAAAGCCAGGTCGTCAGAAGGGGCCAAATCCCACGCAAGCGGGCGCAAGATGGCCAAGACTCCCAAATGGAAGGCAGACGGCGGCGGCGACAAGCGGTCCAAGGCGGAGAGGAAGGCGGAGGTGAGGGAGAAGAAGGCCAGGCTGAGGAAGAACTACGCGCTGGTGCAGGAGATCGTGTTCATCTGGGAGAAGCTGAGGCCAAGGGAAGTGACGGCTGAACAGAGGGGCAAGCTGGTGACCCTGGTCCTGTCCAAGGTGCGTGGCCGGGTCCTGGACCTGGTGACCAACCACAGGGCGTCCCGGGTGATACAGTTCTGCCTCAAATACGGCTCGGACGTCCAGAGGAGGCAGATCCTGGAGGAGGTGCGCCCCAACGTGCTGGAGCTGGCGAAGAACAAGTACGGGCACCACCTGGTGCAGAAGCTTGTCAACAAGTCGCCCAGGGAGGACCTTCCCAAGCTGGCGCGTCTGTTCGAGGGCCACGTGCCCTCCCTGCTCAAGCACCAGTTCGGCTGCGACGTGATCAACGATCTGTACTTTGTGGCGGACAGGCGGCTCAAGGGCCTGCTCCTGCGGGGCTGCTACAGCAAGAGGTTCGCCATGGCGCTGGAGGCTGAGGGCGAAGGGGGGGCGGGGGTGAAGGGAAGGGCTGACGACTCCCTGGGGAAGCTCCTGACGGAGGAGAGCGGCTTCAAACGGGCTCACATTATGCAGGACTTGTACAATCTGGTGCACCCCGTGATCGAGAAGGGGCTGGTCCATGGCCCCATGATGCACAAGCTGATTGTCGAGTACCTGCTGAACGCACCCTCAGCCTTCGTCGAGGAAGTGGTTCAGACGATGGCGGAGGTGGGTGACGCTGTGATGAAGATGGTGCATACGAGGGAAGGGGCCAGGGCGTCAGCCATGGTGGTCGCCTACGGGACCCCCAAGACCAGGAAGGCTGTGGTCAGGAACTTCAAGGGCTACGTGAGGGAGGTCGCGATGGATGAGTGGGGCAGCACGGTTCTGGCGACGGTGCTCGACAGGGTGGACGACACGGCCCTGACAAAGAAGGTTGTGGTGCCTGAGGTTAGGAAGTGCTTGGGGGAGCTGCTGCTGGACCGCTGCGGACGGCGGGTGGTGCTCAATCTGCTCAACCCTGGCTCCAGCCTGTACTGGCCTCCGCACCTGCTGAAGATTATGCACCCTCCTGAGCGCAAGCTGGAGTCAAGACACAAGAGCATGCCAGGCGCGGCTGATGATTTGGATTTAGATGATGCAGATGTCGATGGGGATGGCGGCAATGCCGATGGCGGGGCTGGGAGCGCTGAGAAGCTCGTTGAGAGGTTGCTTGGTGTCAGCAAAAAGGATTCCTATGTTCGCAGGCAAGAGGTTCTGGGACATGGCAAGGACAGTTTGTCAGAGGCTATCATTTCCCAGTGTTTGTCAAACATGGGCACCCTCCTTCGGTCTCCTTTTGGCGCAGATGCCATTGCTGAGGTTGCGACTGGGGGTGTGGATGGCATATTGACAGATTGCAGTCCAGAGGGAGTGCAGAAGATCCATGAGGCAGTGTTTGAGTTGTGTGCGCAGCCGAGACCAGTGGCTGTGCCCGCAGCAGATGGTGAGAATGTGGAAGATGCAGGTGTTGGTGCATCAGATGCAAGTACTGGTGGGAAGGTGGTGGGTGGGATTCCGGTTGTGCGCACTGGTCAACGCAAGAAACCGATTGTGGGTGATGCCATGGGTGGTTGCGACAGTGGCAGTGAAGATGGTGATTCCAGCGAATCCATGCCAAATGATGGCTCTGAAGAAGATGATGACGACTTCCAGACTGCACACGAAGATTTCGACGAAGATTTAGGCGTAATGGATGACGAATTTCCAGTCCACAACGACGCCAATGAGAGTGGAAAATGTTCCCCTCCGAATCGGCACCCACTTGACGACCTGTATGCCTCCAGGGCACTGCGGAGGATGGTGGCTGCCTCTGCAGTTAACGGTATAAGAGGTGCTTGTGCCAGGGACGTTGTGTCAGGCCTCTGGTTGAGATGTTTCCAGGGGCGTTGCTCCGAGTGGGTGGGATCCCCTGCGAAGCACATCTTGAGTGCTCTTCTGCACTGTGGATGTCCGGCCGTGGTGGAGGCATGTGCCAAGGAGATGAAGCCGCTGGTGAGCGTACCACTTGAGAAGTGGTCAGCGGAACTCAAGGCATCAATGGGCAAGAGGAAAGGCAAGGATGGAGGTGGGACCAAGAAGCCCAATTCTTGATTGCCTTGCAGCACACAGAGGAACTCTTGAACCTGTGCTAGTTTCTTCATTGTGAGTGTAGATGCGGTTCTATGTAATCCCTGTGTAGGGTGAAAGAATACGACCATCGTTTGCGTTTGTCAAAAACGGCAGAACATCAAAAGATTCTGAAATCCATTCTCGGTTCGACGCCAAAGGAACCGCCAAGGCGAAAAGTAACAAAGAGGTTCTTGAACGAGTAGTGACGTCGGGTATTGGCTGTCATCAACACTGAGCCCCGCCCTCGCAGCTGGGATGGAAACCCAATGCGGCCAGGAGCGTTGCCCTGCCATTGGATATCCCCTTTTGTGCAGTCAAATGCGCACTTGTCTCACTGAAGGCGGCACTGTGAATATCCGTTCGTGTGGTTGCCGTGATGCGTGGATCACTGCTATCGGCAGGGCGAGCCCAGCCACGACGTGCCAATGACCCTGGAGCCGACAATTGGTGCCCAAATCTCCGGCCAATCACCACAAGATATCGCGCCTGTTTCCAAACGGCTACTCCACACACAGCAGCTCATCCAAACCGTGGCTGACAGCGCTTGATCACACATTACCACCTCATGACATGTGCCATGGCTGTGATGCAACGGACACATTGGACCAGCATCCATTCAGTTGTGACAGGCAATGAAAGGGGCGGGCCGCCCCATTGATGCGCGTTGTAGACAGCCCGTCGGCCGAGTCCAGATTCGAATGGCATCTCCAGAACGAATCAAATTCAGGTCTGTGTGGAGACCGAATGGCTGAACCATCCACCATGTACCAGGGATACTGCTGCGATGCAGGACATGGATCGCGACACGCGGTCAATCATTTTGCCCAACCCCTGTTAGTGGATTCTGGGATGTTTGCCTCGTTCCTGGCTGTGCGTCGACTCGAGGAATTCGTCCTCTGGATTGAGCATGCGTCACTCTACGGGATTTTTTTCAAAGCGACGCAGATGTCGAATGGACGTACAGTGTGTCCCTGTGTTTCTATCAATTTTTCGATCTCGGGCGCCAATTCAGGCTCACATGGCGGTCCTGGCAAACAGTTCAATTGGCGACTCGGCCACGTGCACCAGACAAACACATTGTTACATGAAGGATCAACATGGATCAACATGCGCTGCAACCATTGTGGCTACTTTCATCCTGCTCCCCACAGGTCCAACCAATGTCCACCGTCCCCCGTCAAAAAAGCAATGCCCCAGAACGCGCTTCCATGTTCAACTACAATGACATGTTCCTGCCGCATCTGTGCCGATCGTCCGCCCGCCACCCCGGGTGCTCCACACCTCGCCAACTCCATCAGGCACACCCCGCGTCGAGAGACCCAAGCGCGCCTGGAATGGCGAAGGCCCACCCCATCCGACGAAGATTTAGGCGCAACGGATGACGAATTTCCATTCCACAACGACATCGATGGAACGGGGCAACGTCCCCTTCTGAATCGGCACCCGTTTGACGACCTGCATGCCTGCAGGGCACGGCGGAGGATTGTGGCTTCCTCTGCGGTTGATGGTGCAAAAGGTGCCCTCCCGGTATGCCCACCCTCCTGTTCTAAACCAGGCCGCCGAACAAGCCCACCGCCAGACCATGCCAACTCCCCAGGCGCGGGGGTTGGCCCCAGGGACCCCTCCCCACCAGAGACGTCCCCGTCCAGAGAGGCGGCTCTGCTGCGCGCGACGATCCCCCACGGACACCCAACGGCCTCTCCAACCGCTCCCAAACGCGCGCACGGCCAGGCGCTCATCCCCACAGCCGCGTCGGTCAAAATTCCGCCACGAGTCAACAAGCGTCCGCATACAATGCCATCCTGTGTCACATCCTGCGTCACATCCTGCGTCACATTTCGCGCAAATGGAGCGCCCACAGATCGGCTCGCTCCCTCATGCGCCCCCTCCCGCCAGCTCGCGGCCCCCCACCCGCCAAAGTACGCGCGCCACGGCCGTCCACCTCATCCCAGGCCCACCTCCACCTCATCCCCACACCCACAGCCCCCCAGCCCCCAGCCGCGCCTCCTCCCCGACCCAGATGTTGTCGGCGCCGTTGACCCGGGTTGACCCCCCGCTCCCCTCTTCCCCCCCTCACCGCATGTGCCGCAGCGGGTACCTGCCCAACTCCGGCCCCACCACGAACCCCCCATGGCCGCAATCCCCGCAGTGCGCGGAATGGCCACAATGCGCACAGTGCGCGGAATCTTCCGCCGCCCAGCGCACTCGTTGGGGTTCCCCGGAGACCTTGCCGGGCTCCACGGCCGGCGGCTCCCACATCCACGGCTCCCAGGTCGCCCGCCGCACCGGCCTCGGCGCCGGCGGGCACTCGACGGCCGGCGGCATCATCTGCCCCCTCGGCGTGCGGGGGGATTCCGTGCCGTCCGATGGCGGGGGCGCACCGGTCGTCACGCGCACGCGCACGTGGAGGTCCAGCTCGGGGGGGCCGGGCGGCAGGGACCGGCCGGCGTGGGGGGCGGGATCGGCGTCCGGGCCAGCGACTGTGACCGACCGGATGTCCAGGCCCGCCGGGGGGTGCAGCGTGACCACCAGCTGGAGGGGGCCGCCGGGCGCGGTATGCACCGACGGCCCCCCGACGCCCCCCGCCGAAGCCGTCGAAGAATCCATCTCCGCCCCCCGCCGCGGGATCGATGGCGATCAGAAGGCTGGCGAGGATCCGGATTGCTCGGATCGGGGCGCGGGGTTCGGGCGGGGTTGGGGAGGGGCTTGGGGGGGGTGCGATCTGGCCACGGGCGGCGTGCGGCGCTGGCCGGCAGCGTGCAGGCTAAAAGGTCGTCCCGAGGCTGGCGCGTTGCTGGCGCCAGCTACGCGGGTGGGGCCTTGGCGGGGGTGCGGCCCGCGCGGCGCGGGGCCCGTTTTCCGTGCGCGACCCCGGGGCCCGCGTGGGCCAGTCAGGACAAAGTACGGGCTGCGGACAGAAAGGCGAGCGTCCGACGTCCCCGCGGGCCGCCAAAAAGGGGTGCTCGCAGAGGCGTCGCGAGGCCCGGGGCAGGGCGGGGGAGGGATGAGTGGAAAGGGCGTACCGAAAGAGAGAGGGCGGCGGAAAGGGTCGGGTGACAGTGCGGCCGTGTCGTGCGGTCGTGTCGTACACGGTTCCGGGTGCTCATGGGCGCGAGCGGAAAGTTCGCTAAAGGCAAGGGCGGCGGCCCCGCCGCCGCGGCGCCTTTCAGGGTTGGTGGCGTTGGGGCACCAGAAAACGGGCGCCCTCTTGTCAGCCTGGCCGACCGTCGCTCTGGCCGCCAGCCGGACGCTGCCCGAGGCGGGGGGAGCAGGCGCGGCCATTGGGGAAAATTTGCGACGACAGGTCTTTGGACGATCTTTTGACCACCGCCGCGCCGCGGGTGTGCGAACGTTGGAGAGGTCAAGGACGGTCGCGAGACTTGGGGAGAAAGCATGGCGGGCCAACTTGGGTGGGCGTGGGGGCGGCTCGCGCCGCTGGCAGGTGCATGCGCCCAGGAGCCGCCACATGGCGCGAAAGTACTGCGCGCAGAATATATTAGTCCCACTATCTTTTCGGTGTGGATCCCTTCTTCTTCCGCTGACAAGGCCAACGCCAGTCGTGGGTCAGTGGTTTAGGATTTAGGGTGCTTGGAAACAAGATGGGATCCACACGAAATGACAGAGCGACTGATCTCACGCGTATTGCGTGAGGCGATGTGGCATTGGGGACGGAAATTGGGAATGGGAGGGGTGGAGGTTCCGGCGGCTCCAATGTGAGACACGGACCTCCTTCCTCATAATGTGGGATGCCACAACCGCCCCCCTTACCCTTTTTGGGTCGTGCATCGGATTTATGTCGTGTGTGCATCATGTCATTGGTTGGGAATTGAGGATTCGGTCATAGAAGGGGCACTATACAATCAAACTCGTTGAGATGCCAAAGGGGAAATGAAGGGAAATGAGATTTTCTAGATGGGCTTTCTATCCAAACGGGAAGAAAAATGGAATTTCGGGTGTTCGGGGCACCAATTAATATAGAAAAATTACATTACGGATAGGGCTCCTTTAGTAGCGCTCAGTTGGCGCCCCGTGAGGCCCAGGACCAAGGGCATGTAGACCAAACTTAGCCTAGGATAATTGAGAACACCGGTGATGATGCCTTGCCATCACCAAGATAATGTCATAGGGACCCAAGATGCTCTGGGGGGCCACGAAACCTATCAGCGTAGAAACTGTAAGCACAAAGCAAACCTTAAGCACCATCCAGTATGGCTGGCAATGTACAGAAATTCATGCAACATTATGGAAGCATCACTAGGATGCCAATTGTTGTTATGTACTAGTGCCGCGCTCGTCGCTTCCTCACCACACGAAAAGGCTCACAAACCCATGCGCACATATCAAGACCGGGCTCAAAGACTCAACGAGACTTGCAAAGAAGCTCCACGTTGAAACATCATAGCAATGCACCAAGATTACAGATAATGACCAAGGGCCAGCTATGGGGCCATGGGAGGCCCATCCCATTTATCTGGCCAGATTGCCAATTTTTGTGGGGTAAACAAGAAGTGGCTGAAAGAAAACACGGGCAATGGCATGGTTCTCAGCTCGATGTGCGGGCGATGTGCCCGCCGCTGCGCCCAATCCGGCCGGAATACCCTCCTCCGCTGGATGACCGGCGGGCGGTCCGGGGCGCTCGCTCCTTCGGGGTGCGCAGTGTGGGCCCAAGCCTGCGATCGGCCAGGCGCGGGGCGGCAGTGCGCGCAATGGGTGCGCGACGCCGGTGCGGCCTGCGGGTGCAGCCGCGCGGAGGCGAGTGGGCGGCAAGAGTTACAATTGTCGGGCATCGGGGCTACCCTTTGGCGTGCCCCGCATCATGTGACAATGCAGCCAACGTCACCGTATCGATAATATCTCATCCCCCAGTACGGTTGTGGAGGCGTCCCTAAGTACTGTAACCTCTAGTAACTATATCTCCAGTACCGCTAACCCAAATAGAGTGATTCAAGGACCTATGGGTTCCTAGTAAGCTCTACTAAGAG